TAATTTGTACATAGTGTCGCAGGATTCTTTGGACAACCCATTATATTATATTAGGAACCTCACCAGGAAAGGATCCCAGCTCACCGTAGTCATTCAAGAAGAGATGTATACCGCTGGATGTGCCTTTGTGCGCTGATCTCAAATCTATTTTCGTAGTCTGTTAAACGATTTCCTAAACCGAGTTATGAAGTAGTATAGCTCAACTCCAGTGGCCGTGGCTCACAGCCGAGACGCCGCAGGACCAATCCATGTTTGACTACTGCTTTTGTTGGCAATACAGCTAGAGAGACCTCAAACATTCCTCATCAACGCTTGATTGAAACTACCTGTACGAAAGACTTATGAGCAGTTACAACTTTAGCGACTGTTCCCGCATGACAACATAGCGACCGTATGACATGTACCAGACGACTTTGCACAAAGCGAGAGTGATATTCGTTATCAGAGAAATTGCTTCTGAAAGCAAATTTTCGGCCAAATCCGAGATTTGGAAATTTAAGCATCATCCATCATCCTTACTGGTTACCAAGGCTTGTTGAGATAGGGTCGAATTCCAGAAACACTTCATGTTACATTCTTGAATAGTTTTGTAAGCTGAATTAAATGCAATTGTGACTTTAAACAAAAAGCGAGAGGTGCGGGTTCTAGTCCCGCCTGGGGCGAAAGTTTTGTTCACAACCCAGCATTCTTGTGAAGCAGTTGTGACTGTGCACTGTCAAGTGCACATAAATGAATTTCATGTGACCTGGCCCTATTTCGGACACATAGCGGAACCATGCACCTGTTATTTGCCGCGGATACAATGTTCGCTGTCTTTTTCTTGAAATTTTCATACGTTTCACTTCGGCGATCTGCCACTGCTAAGTTTTTGATGACTGTGAGCTAATCCCTCAAAAGTTGGATGTTCATGATCGGCCATCGCTAGGGGTGCTGGTTGAAAAGAAAGTCTTCCCTTTCCGGAGTCTAGTTAGAAACATAGCTTTGGCGCTGAATTTGGTTCTCCGGGATTTTTCGACCTCCTGTCCAGGAATATCATACTGGTCTAAGGCAAGAATCTCTGGCGCGTGCGCTATGGGTGCTGTGAGCAGCCGTGGCCAGGCGCTCACAAACTCGTTAAACAGGCACGCATATGCAACCGTCAATGAGCCATGGAGGATAAGAGTGTTTTTAGTCACCTTAGTGAAAATCGATATAGCAAAAATTCCAAGGAATCGATCCCACCACCACCAGCCAATGAGTCTGAACCTCCACCAACTGCGCCACCGCTACACATCTCGTTGTCAGCTCAACTTATGTGACCAACATCGCGGGACAAACGCCTCCATGACTTCGCCAAGAACCCTTCAGCAGATTCGGAAATCAGATTTGAAATCGGCGGTGCTATATAGAAATGCACATCCCATCCTGAATGGTCTTGGCGACGTGGGATCCTACCCTTGTTATACAAAATGTCGAAGAACGTTCGAGTAACTAGTAGGCAGGCAGTGTGTGCCGAAATGGATCAAAACACAACAGACCAAAGCTGAGAGAAACTTGATATGACAAACCGCAGTTCTGCTGGAATGTGTTGACTTCCTACTAAGCTTCTGATAAAACATTTCCTTTCAAGGGCAGAATATTCGCTCCCGAAACAAAATCTGTTGTGTTCATCGTCGACAGCACATCATACTTGGAATCAAAGACCAACATGACATGGACCAAGGTATGTCTTTCTGATCATCCGTCTCCTTTTATAAATTTTTACTCATAGTACGATAGTCTGAAAGAAGGGTACTTGATAGGAATAGTGATAACAAGGTTCCATACAGCCTTGCTTGTGACATCATGCAGCTATAATGGTGTCACACTCAGAGGTTTATTACAAACCATTTACAAACCAGAAGTCCCGCAAGCCGCTGGGACTTCCCTTCCCTGCTTAGCCTCCCACCTGCGACACTCACACCTCGTGGAGAGACGCGTATGCAACAAAGAGGAGTTTCACACAGTATAGGGCAACGGCATAATCATGACATGACGGTAGAATGACACACTAATACCTAACTGCAGCTTGGATTTGTCGGTTTTTTATTTTCGCCTCCCTTCCCCGTCCTCCCTCCCTCCACTGCCCTCCAGCTGCCACTGCAGCACCATGTGGAATGACGGAAGTGTGCTCAGCAGGTGTTTATATAGCGGTGAGGGTGTTATCACAATTATCCTATTACAAAACATTGATAGCTCAAGCCCTGCGAGCTATCCCGAATCTGTTACGGTTTTGCTTATTCCATGAGCTTCCTTCTCACTCACTTCATTTTGCGGACGGACATACATACATACATACATACATACATACATACATACATACATACATACATACATACATACATACATACATACATACATACATACATACATACATACATACATACATACAATCCTTCTATTTTATAAAGCGCTAACTTTGTGTGTCGGTTTGTGTATCTGTATGTGTGTGTGTGTGTATGTATGTGTGTCCGTCCGCAAAATGAAGTGAGTGAGAAGGAAGCTCATGGGATAAACAAACCGCTAACAAATCGGGTAGCTTACAGGATTTGAGATATCAATGTTTTGTAGCAGGATAGTTGTGATAACACTCTTAGGGCTATATAAACACCTGCTTAGCACACTTCCGTTCATTCCACATGGTGCTGCAGTGGCAGCTGGAGGGGCAGTGGAGAGAAAGGGAGGTCGAGGAACATGATCCTCGGACAGGCGGTGCGTAACTTGTCCCGGCTCTGGGTTTCCATGGGGTTCGTAACTCTTGAGGTCAGTAAACAGCATGGTAAAATCGTGGTGCAGTAAGGTAAAGGGTATAAGCGGCAAGCTGAAAAAACACAAAATATCGAAAAAAACAAGATAAATTAAATTTTCCCTTTTGCAGGTTTCTCAAGGTCGCCCCCGCCTTCCATTCAGCTGCAAACCTTTCATGAGAAGGGGGTATTTTGAAAGCCAGTACAAAGAATAAAGTGCATCCCCGCAAAGAAGACTGCCACATGTGCGCACGCGCTGCAAAAGGCACCTCCTCTGCCTATCGCTCGCTCCTTCTCCCTTAAATACCTCGCTGAGAATGACACTGTTGTTAGGGACCCTGTCGCAAGAACGACAACCGTGAAGGAGAAAGCCCTGGGCAAATGAAAGTTGTTCTTTAGGTTGTAAGAGTTACGATAATGCGTTTACTGCAATGCAACTTCTGTAACTGGGTCATGAAGCACATGCCAACGCTTCCGAATCGATCTTCAAAAAGCCACTTGCGAGTGAGGCCGAATTGCAAAGGCCTGCCACTTCATGACA